ATGTTTTATGTATTTTCTACATATTAATAGGCTATAAAATAAGCCTTTGAAACCCCTAATTTGTCATATTGTTCGGAATCCCCTGGAACCACTTTCGAAAGATTTTGAGCGACGCCTGACCACGCCAATTCTATCTTGTCGGGGCATCGGCCCCCGCTGAGGACCTCGGACCCCCCGTCGGGCAAATCCTAGCGCCAGCAACTCTGGAGAGTGGAGATGGATTTTCCAGTACGACGTAAGCCTGGTTCTCACGAGAGCCCTAGTATCCGGATCGGGAGCTAACCGTTAGCGCTAACCGTTAGCACCTGTGTGAGAACGCCCGATCGATGAGCGCTAACCGTTAGCAGTATCCAGATACCGCTAACGGTTAGCAAGCGCTATCGGTTAGCAAGTTGAGCGCGTTTCTATCATCAACCAATCACACGTACGCGTTTACAATTTCCAGTTTCTTATTGGCCAATGATTCGATCATCATTTGGTATCCGGATCGGGATTTTCTCGTATGGACGCACGGCAGCTAACGGTTAGCAGGATCCGGATCCTGCTAACCGTCAGCAGCCGTGTGAGAACATAGCCAATGTGTGTGACCGACTTAACGCTTCAACACATAAAAGCCTGGTTCTCACGAGAGCCCTAGTATCCGGATCGGGAGCGAACCGTTAGCGCTAACCGTTAGCACCTGTGTGAGAACGCCCGATCGGTTAGCGCTAACCGTTAGCGGTATCGGGATACCGCTAACGGTTAGCAAGCGCTATCGGTTAGCAAGTGAGCGCGTTTCTATCATCAACCAATCACACGTACGCGTTTACAATATCCAGTTTCTTATTAACCAGTGATTCGTTCATCATATTATGTATACGACACGACAGGGATAGTCATCATATTAAAGCGTACGATATCGTAGAATTTTGAACATGTTTGAAAAATTGTAGTTGCAACATCGCAACGTGTGAGACCGATTTTAGCTAAGACTATAGTCTGTATAATTATGTACGTAGGTACGTCGCAACTCGCACGCAAGTACGTGTAGGCTATGTTCGCACACGGCTGCTAACGGTTAACAGGATCCGGATCCTGCTAACCGTTAGCTGCCGTGCGTCCATACGAGAAAATCCCGATCCGGATACCAAAAATATGATGATCTAATTATCACTGGCCAATAAGAAACTGGAAATTGTAAAGGAGTATGTGTGATTGGTTGATGATAGAACGCGCTCAACGTGCTAACCGATAGCGCTTGCTAACTTTCTTTCTTTTCTTTCAAGACATTTATTAACTTCCATAGAACACAAAAAGATGCAATACAATAAGGTTTAAAAAAAAACGTAAACTATGGAAGAAGGCATGATCCCGATAAGACAAAGATCTTGTGATGGGCATGTCTGAAAAAAAAAAGTCAATACAGACAAAAAAAAAAAAAAAAAAAAAAAAAAAAAAAAAAAAAAAAAAAAAGAAGAGCCATAAAACAAAAAGAAAAAACAGGAGAAAGAAAAAAAATAAACGAATAAACAAACAAACAACAGAAGTTCATGCGAGAGCATAACATAACCGTTAGCGCTAACCGATCTTGCGTTCTCACACAGGTGCTAACGGTTAGCGCTAACGGTTAGCTCCCGACCCGGATACTAGGGCTCTCGTGAGAACCAGGCTATATAGTACCGTATTGTGCATCCACCAATACGTCGCACGTGCGCATGTGTGTATTATGAGATTCCTCGCGTTGCTATCATAACTTTGTAATTAGACCTAGAACTTTTAATCGTGACTAAAATTGTAAAAACACTACTTATATTTACTTGGCCATATACGCATTCATCTTGAGTCAGTGTCAATCCATAGTCAGTAGACGAATAGCATTAAAATAGGCCTACCACCTACCTGTGTGCTCTCGATTTTACAGGATAAACCACTGCATACACTCTATCAACAGCTAAAGTTGTTAACGTCAACACAGTAACAGCATAGTTAGTCTGGTACAAAAATGTTTGTAATTTACACAAGACTGTTCCATATTGAAAATCGGACGCAACATACCACGAGATTGATATTGGAGTAGCAAATATAATAAACAAGATATCAGTAATAGCAAGATTAAATACGTATATATTTGTTACCGTTTTCATTTTTCCATTTTTAATAATGACGTAGATAACTAGAGCGTTCGCTGGGACACCGACGACGAACACAACTGTCGCCAAAACGATGGTAAAAGCTGGAGGTATACTATCCAACAAAAAAATAGTACCATTGTTCGGAAACTCATCCGAATAACTCTCGTCCATATCGTCTTTCGGCCAGTTGTACTACGGCGCTGGATTGAATGATCACTATTGCATAGCCACTACTGTACTGCTGTGAGTAAAACACGTTGGAGCTTCTAGGGTAGTAATTATAATGTGTTTCTTAAATGTTTGATTTGTCTATAGATTTCAGCTATGACGCGCGGCGCGAATTCAACGTGACTCTTCTGAATGGTTCATCTTCATATGAGCAGACGATAAAGCTAACGTAACGACATAGCAATTCGATATCTCATGAATACACTCCCGAGGATACGAAAGGCTGTATAAGAATCGATGTCCAATTTAACCCAATGAATGACTTGTTCAGTATTCGAATGTATAGGTCAATCCGTATTCACATTACTTTGTTTTAACCTTCAAAACATCCCTGCAAGACAGTTATTAATACAATGTTAGGAAATTGAAACGTAAGAGAATATCATTTTGAAACATATTTATATCCAACCAATGTTATTAAATTTCAGAAAAGCCAAAGGTCATATGCCAGCATCATATTCCCTGGATTCTAGTTGTCTGTGGTAGATTTTTAGAAAACACTAATTCAATGAAATATCATTTAATTCTGTTATTAAAAATTAATCAAGTAAACTATTGTATTTCAATGAGACACGCATCAAAGTTGATTTACGAACGTTTTACTACAAAAAATCTATTAATTACCAGCTATTTAAAAAGCCTAAAGGAAAGGTACCGTATGATTTATTTTATAAATATTTTGAGTTTAGTTATATATAAATATAACGAGTTTAGAACATGTTTTACATTTACAATTAAAAATCTTTCGGTTAATGTAGCAGCTCGTGGTGACCGTGTAAGAACAATTAGTTTTCTAAACTTGTCATACAGGTATATAAGGAATAAGATTTCTATAGTCATACCCATAATATGTTTGGCATAGGCCTACATAATATGTACAGCATTAAGATTTTTTTTGGATAATATAGCGATTCTTGATATTCAAAGCTTGAATCTTCTTCTTTAAAGTTTTGGTAAAGACTTGCATTAATTAAAGAGTTGAAAATGATATTTCTATTTTATTTCCTTGAAATGTTTAGTCAATTAGGCGATTAGTTTTGATAAATTAGAACAAAACAATCATGACCACTAAAAGAAGATTGGCCTAATTACAAACGGAAATGCACACAAATTCTACCGAAATATCACGGGCCTAGACCCCTAACATCCAGGTTCCGTACAGTATTTCATCTACACAACTCATGGATGAATAAAAATGTACAGATGATAAGTAAATAGTCAGCAGGTTTTTTTTTTTCCTTTTTGGTGGGGGTCATTTATGAGAATAATTTTCCGCACTCTCTCCTGCAAATATCTGGAGTCACCCCAATACCTCACAGCCCCGCGAAAGGCCTCCAAAGGCGGCCTTTTTGCGAGTAGACTTAATTTGATTATGGGTAGACTAGAGATTTTACAAGCGAAGTGTTTTTATCTTTTAAAGCCCTGGTATTTGGTGGATATATGATGGGGGAAATTACACAGAAAATATCGATTGTGTGCCAAACTATAGTTGAACAAAATTTGTATGACTGATACTGACACGATTATGCTTGTAACTTTACTTTTGGCATGAAAATACTCCTATAGGGTTATTCCTACCAGGGAGTTGGTATGTTCCTGGTCCTGCCCAATTGCCTGAGCCAAAAGAAAGTTAGAGCTGTCAAAGTATGAACGCCTGAGCAGGTAACTGTATTTGACATAGGTCTGAATGTGGAGGTCCTCCATGAGAAGCAAACATTAGAACCTAGTTCAATATAATAGAGGAAAAAAATATTAGTTTAACTTTGTGGGAAAAGCCCAATTCAGGAAACGATACTTCTAATACAGTTACATTTGCACAAACAAAGCAAGACATGACAAGGTCTATTACAAATCACGAACAACATACAGTCAAAGTATAGACGCCCAGCAGACAAGTATATTTGGCATAAAAGTGGAGGTCCTCCATGAGAAGCAAACATATTGAGGCCGATTTAATGGACTTGTGAAACCCATAATTCGTGAATATTCCTTTTAAATTTCCATTCATTTTGGTGTTGATAGGCCTTGGTATTCACACTATTCACAGAATCAAGGTCAATATGATAGAAGAAAATCTATTTTTACTTTTCTGGGAAAAAGCCCAATTCAGGTAATGATACTTCGCATACAGTTACATTTGCCCAAAGAAGGCAACATCGTGACAAGTTTTATTACCAGTCACCGACAACAATAAATGTCCGTCGACCTTGCAAAATATTTGGTCGCCACCCATAGTGTGAATACCAAGGGCTATCAACACCAAAATGAATGGAAATTTAAAAGGAATATTCACGAATTATGGGTTTCACAAGTCCATTAAATGCGGCCTCAAAATCATACTTTGTCTGAGCGTCTCCCAGCCGGGGCCCTAAAAAGCCTCAGTCTAAGCATCATGGAGGTATAAAAATAGATTGTTATACCTCCATGGTCTAAGGCTAGCTTTGCTCGCAAGAGCAGCCAACCCTCATTATAAAATCCTACCTACGGTCCTGCAAACATAATGTATAGAAATATGAAATATGCTTTATTTTTTTTAATTTTAGATCTGTAAAGCCTGCTTATTATTAGACCTATGCAACTATTCGAGGATTGCTTTAAATGCTGCACTTTACCACTTGTCATGCTACTTAAAACCGTCAGTTCCCAACAAACTTCAATTTTGCGAGAATTGAATTTATGGTGGTGCCAGTTGCAGATGCAGGACCCCGCCAGGGAGAGCCTCTTTGAAGGAGAACTCAACACATTCGTTAGTGGGAACCTTTACAGAAAACGTGGCTGTAAAATCGCTTACGGGTCTTCAGCATCCAAAATCACTAAAAATTGTTAGAGCTTCCAGGCTTTTCCTTCTTCTGGGACATCACCCCTTCCCTGCTGCTGGGAAAATATTGGCGCCCATTGTGACCAGTGATGCGAATCAAATTATGCCAAGGGCTGATGAGAAATTATCTAAATTATGCCAAATTTTAAAATTTGAAGAAATTATCACCCCCCCCCCACGCCTAAAATGAAAGCAACATTATTAATTAATCTCATGTTTTCTTTCTCCCCAAAGGATTTTTTTCTCCCCGGAGCGGAGCGAGCTTCCCATTACCGGAGAGTGGGGAGGGTAGCCAATCGGACTCCACTGGCTCCACTACTGATTTCGTTATCAGTATTTTACTAAAACTAACAATATAAAATAATGAATGTTTTTTTCATCCTTAAAATGGATATCAGTAGGCTCACTGTGTGTTTTACCTTGTAGAACTAATGACTGGATTTATTCATTTTTTTCTGTGAACTTTCATGATTTGACTCTCAAACACGGGATTTATTTTTTTCCTCTCAGACATAAGATTGATATAATCCTTTTTTTTCTCCTTTTTTTTAAAATATAATTTTGACAAATTTAGGGGAGGGGCCCTTTTTAAACTTCCATTGAAATCTATACTGTACTCTCTGATTTATTAGGCCTACTTCACCATAAATGTATTGTATTTACATTGCGAATTTATATTTAATTTATAGATCAACTTAAATCAAAGAATATGTCCCCATTGTTTGATTACATTCTAAAACTCCTATTACAGGATCAATTTCACATTTTTGTGTTCCTCCTTAATAGGGACACCCTCCAGGGGATATGCCTATTAAGGGGATTTCAAACATAAATGTAAAGCCTATATTATAAAATACAGGTTTCTCTCTAAATAAAGACCCCTCCAATTAAAGACCTACTCCAATTAAAAACTCACTTCTGCGGCCCTAGTTAAATGCCTATCTTTTATCATTAGCTGTTCCCCAAATTAAAGATTCCCTCCTTTGGAGACCAAACACCATGGTTTTGGCGGACCCAACTGAAAACTGTCCGTCATTTAAAGACCACTGTGAAGTAATATTAATGCACTATTTTTCTATAATAAATTGTATTTTATATATGACAAATAGAAGTATTAGTGAATGCACTGTTTTGTGTGCAGTGTTTTGTGGATATTGAATTATACCTCTATGATTGAATAACGATAATGTTAGTGACGATGTTAGTAATATTTAATGGAAAGACATTGGGCGTCTGGTTACCATTAAATGTTTTATTAAGAATAAACAACAACATGCTTTACATCCATTTTAAAACATTTAATGTAGTATGTTTTTTTATTTCCTTCTAAATAGAGAAATCTAAAGACCACATTTAGTGCCCACGAGTCTAATATTATGATTTTGGCAGAAACCCAACTAAAATGTTCCCTTCGATAAATGCATTAACATATAATGGGGATTTTAATGCAGCTTTGAATTAGTGAGTAAATGAGCAAGTATAGGTGAATATTCACCTTGCCGTACTATTGTTTTTTGTATGTTGTGAGCTGAATTTGAATTAAAAAAAAAATAGGATGATGTTGTTATGGTGATTTGGGTAGAACCAGCGCATGTGACTACCGGGAAACTGTAAAATAGAAAATTGTATTCAAATTTAGGTTTGACAGTGCCATTTTTGGCCATCTGGGGTTTCATGATCATAACATTCCTTACCTCACCCCCAATCATACTGGGTCTCTATCTGTAAAATGCCCTCACTGGGCCCCCACACCCTAGGTAAAGAATTTTCAAAAAATCTCAAGCCTGTACATTTTTCTAACTTGGAATCTTTGTGGTTGGGTTGAGGTTCGATTTTTTAAATAAAAAGGTTCCACTCTAGGTGCCGGGAAAACACATTTTGATACTGTAAAGTATTCTCTATACTATTTTTCGACGGATGATTCAGAGTTCCCCATGTGTTGGTGTCGGCACTGGTGTTTTCCCACTTTTTTTAAAGTACGGTATGTCCTATAGGCATTATTTTTACAGGTTTTACTCAAGAACAGAGGGGAACAAGCTTTAAAGTGTGAAAGCGCACAGCTTTGACAATGCTATAACTGGACACAAAAGTTAGTATTATTCCTTAATAATCACCAAATCACGCAATTCGTGTATTAATTTGTTTCTCTACACGAAGAGGCATAGGTCTACCAGTGTCCGCCTGAAATGTCCCACCCATATAATTAAACAAATTCAGGTGACCAAATTTTTAAATTATACACCAGATGCCCCGAAAATGGCACTCTGAGACTGTAAAAAACAGTACTCTCTACTTTTTTCTCGACGGGTCCAGGGTTTTGTTCCCCCAGATCGTAGGTGTTTTCCCACTACCAAAATATATTGACTTTCTGCACCTTCTTACCGATTTGAGTCAACAATACATTGGTGCGCGTCTTAAACTGTTGGACCTTTCATATAATTCGACCCTATTTCTACCCCTCCTGTAAATATCCTTCACTTTTGGCGTCCTTAGTGTCCGGGTTCGCCCATCAGAACCCGAACCATTGTATTAGGAAATCTTGTTATAGAGTGAGCCTGACAAGCACCAAGGTTTGACAGCAGAAGTTAAAATTATGCTTTAAATGGGAATATTCGGTGTGAATCAGTGTATTATAAAATGGTGAAAATGAATTGTTCCTCGGCATGAATTGAGAAATTTATTCTTTGGTTAGTAACTACAAGATACATAAATAAACTAAACAATATATATATATATATATAACAAATACACGAATACCACTTTTTCAAAAAACAAAATATAAATCTTCAATCTTTTATCACAAAGCCAATACTCTAATTGGAGACAGAAGCCAGAGACCACTTCAAGTTTCAGATCCTAAAAGTGGTCTTGAATTGGCGGACAAAATGTATTTAAAAAGAAATTATGCAATGAAATATACTTTTGTGTTGTGATTGTAGAAAGTACTGTACAGTAAAGTATTTCTTTAAATTGAGTTTTATTCAATACAAAGACACATCATGTCTGTAGAACATAAGGGAACGTTTATGAAATGTTCATACTTTTTAGGCCTTATAAATGAATTAATCAAGAATCAGGGTAGGCCTATTATGCACCATTAGTAAACCGTTTCTTTGAATAATGTTTAAAGTAGTAGTGCATCTGTATGGTAATTGACGAGGAGGTTTTTTTTCGTTTTAATATATTTAATTACAGGTATAAGATAAAACATATTATAAATATTATTGTTTTCAAGATGATTAGGTCATTACACTGATTACACTGATGATATATCTCAGTAGCGGCGCTACGGGTGGGGGGGGGCTAGGCAGGGCTACAGCCACCCCCCACCCCCGTCGAAGAGCCCCTCCCCGTCGGGGAGAATAACCACAATTCGTCGGGGAGAAAAAAAAATCAAAACAATTATATATGTAATTTGTACCGTACATATCAATAGATTCTAAAATTGAATAAAAAGCCTTTGAAACCCTTAAATTGTCATATTTTCGGGGGACTAGGTCCCCTGGACCACTTTCGAAAGGTTTTTAGCGACGCCCGACCATGTCCACATTTTTTTTTTGTATTGTCGGGGACATCAGCCCCTGTCTCTTATACACATCTATGGAGAACCTTGACCCCCCCGTTCTCATTTTGGCTACAGCTGAATAGAAATTTCCGTGCTCACCGCCGTGAGAGAGAGAGAGAGAGAGGGAGTGAGAAAGAGAGTAGGTCTAAGTCTATCCATTGATTCATGTCCCAGCCCCCTCGACGACTTAATTCATAGGTGTTAGTCAACGGCGTTATTATCAGTCACAAAAGTAGAGCAACCTTAAGCTTTGCAAGTCAGACAATCCCTCACTGATGGTTGAAAAGATAACTCTACGCATTATCTACGTGTCTTGTACTCCTCAACAGACGATTACTTG